GGGGGAGAGAGAGACATTCATAGTAACTCTGACACCAGGTATCTTCCGTGTAAATAAACACTCACGCCAATTACAAACCAAATGGTTTAAGTAAAAGTAAACAGATTTCTCTCACAGTCCAAGTCCAAGTGCGTTAAAGTACATTGCTATAGCCTACTTGTGTCTCGCGTTTATTTATTATACCTCTCTCTTCGGTCTCGCGTCACTTCTCAAGGAAGCGATGAAGAGAATCCCTCACACTTTCCAATCGATATGTTTCCCATTAGCGATCTGAGGACTCTGGAGCAGAGTGGTAATGTCCAGTTGTAGTAATGAGTGACAGCTAGTGAGTCGAAGTCTTGAGAGCGCCCGTGCGTGTTTGTTTTTGTTTCGTTTAGTTTTGTGTTTTGTTTTTGTTTTGTTGTAGCTTTTAAAAAAATCTGGAGTATTTTTTGTTAATTTTGCTCCTTCTTTCCTTTTAAAATCTTTAAAATTATCTCTTTTCCCTTTTATTTGTATGTTACTTTCGAAGAGTACCTCTAATCTTCGGCACTTACATGATCTAATAGTGTTGAAATTAGTGCCATACAAAACTCTTTCCCAAATACTAAAGAGATTTGTTTTAATGGGTGGGAGGATGCGGAGAAGTGCATAATGCATAACGCCTTGAGCGTTTTCATATAATATACAGCTGCAGATCGTTGGTATTGTTTGAGTGATGTTATAACGAACGCCAAGCTTTTGCAGGGGTATCAAATCCTGGGGAAATGGAAGCCAAATGTATGGGGCAGGGGGTAGACCAAGGCATCCCAAAACAAATCGTTACCCGGTAGTTCCAGCAAAGATCGTGTAGTAGAGAATCTTTGGTTCCAGTATCCTCGTGGTAGACCCACAGTTACTTATTTGGAAAATCGGAACTGATCGGTTACGGTGAAAGACCAGCACGAAAAATATTTTGGAGGGTGGTTTGTTTTGTTTTTTTGTTTAATTTTGTTTTGATGTTGTTGGTTTGGTTGTTTTGTTTTGGCTTTTTTTTTGGGGGGGGGAGGGGTGCTTCGGGTTGTTTTGTTTGTTTTTTGTTGTTGTTGTTTGTTTGTTTGTTTGTTTTGGGGGGGCTGGTTTGGTGTTGTTGTTTTTTTTTTTTGTATTGTTGTTGTTGTTTTGTGGGGGGTTTTAAGAGCATCTGAGTGAAAGAAATAAATGGCTGGCCATCGCTGGAGTCTGTTTCTTATAGATCTGGAACTTAAATTGACGACAATGGTGTTCTAAATTCAAAGAAAGCTCCAAACCTAAGCAGCTGGATGGAGGCCAATATCCCCCAAACACAGGCTTGGTCTGCATGTTTTGTTGTGTTTTCTTTTTCTTTTTGTTTTTGTTTGTTTGTTTTTTTTGTTTGGGTTTTTGGGGGGGTTATTTTTTTATCCCATCATTTTTTTAAAAATCTTTTCATCCGCATATTAATTTACCAATAGCATCAACATCTTCGTTAATCATATTCATTGTTTTAACTAGATCTGCCGTGACTGTTTCTAATACTATAGGGCGTGGCGTGTATTGTTTCCCGAATACGGGGAAATCTTATAATATTGAGTATTGGTCTTTCTTTTTGGATGCTGTATCCCTTCAACCCGGGTTGACCCTGACAGGCTTGGTTGAAGGCCATCTCCTAAATTAAATGATCTAAACTGTGTCGATGTGGGAGTAAAAACACTTACCCTTTTTTAAGGTGTATTGTATTTTTTCTTTTTTTATTATTGCAGTAGTCGGGGGCAGGAGAAAGGGGTGGGGGCGCAGAGC